AGACTTGATGATGAGGGTGAATTTCATTCAGGTGGTGTTGTGGGACGAGTTGATCTTTTTCTTCAGCATAAAGAGGGTCTAAGAGTATTCTAGCAATCAGTTTAATTAAGAGGATCCATGTAGAAACTAAAGTGCATGCCCTTCAAACTGGACCATTCCATAGAATTTTCTACAATATGAGAAGAAGAGAATCTTAAAATAGCTTTGACATTTACTCTTAAGTTATAACTTCTTTGCTTCAGCTCCTTTGCCCAATTGGATCTATAATTTATTGCGTTTATACTTGCATCATTGTTGCACGATTAGAGGCAAAGCAAACAAAAGAAAAGTGAGCTGATCATCTTATCGTTCCATGGAAGAACTGGTTTGTTTGCATGTTTGGGTTGGGAGGAATTAAGCGCCTATCATTTTTCTTTCATTAGCAGATTTTCTCATTTTATTCGCAAGTAAAAGTTCATCTGCTTTTATTTATTTCTTTAATTCTTTATTTACTTGTGTTAATATTGTGAATGTGCAGTGCCCATGATACAGCAATTGGAGGCAACTTTGAGGGTTGGTGCTGTCCCACAAGCTCCTCGGTTTAGACCTACCTTGGTGGAGTCCTCCCAGAAGACATCGGCCGTCAACTCAGACGGTAGCACCAACATGCCTACAAGGGAACCAACCAACAATGATACAAAGGTCCCTTCGAAAACAGATGAAAATGTGTCTGTAGATTCTGGAAGGACTTCACAGGAGGTTCTCAGTTCTACCAACCAACCTACTGCCAAATCAGCTGGAACAAAGGTCAATGGGGTTCCCGGGGATCCTCTTGGGGATGCCCGGAGCAAGGTGCAGGAGGAAATAAGCAGTGAATTTGCTGCAATTATGGCTACTGGAACACTTCGAGCGAGCGAGGCAGCTGCACTTGCTACTAGAAGAGTGATGGAAAGACATGGGAGATTGAACGTCGTCTAAAGGAACAGAGAAGATCCTTATAGAGAGCAAAAAAATGCAAAATTTACATGCTGTGTCTCGGTAATTGGTGACATGGCACACAAAAAAAAATTCATTTTTCTCTTTTCATCATGTTCCGAATTTTCTCTAAAAAATTGACAAGGTGGATTTTGTATTACAAATTAAATCCATAAACAGTTCTTGCCCATTGTCATCCCTTAATTCTCAAGACAAAACTAGTAATTTTATTGTTGAGGATAGATACATACATAAATGTAGATGGACAGGCATACTTATGTAATGTTCCTTTCTCATTTGAGTATGTATATGCTACAGACGAAAAGTATACGCGCATTGTAAAAGGTTGGGTCCGTTTGGCTCATAGGCTGACTTGGACCATTCTCAGGCTATCCACAGCCTTACGACAAGCCCAAACTGACTTGGCTGGGACCAAACAAAAAAAAAAAAAAGCAAAACCATAGGATTGGGACCGGGAACAGGCGAACAGTCGAGTTGGGGTATGGTTGGTGCCCGTTTTAGCAATGAATTCACGTATAAATCAGGCTATTTATCTTTAGACTGATGTTTAATCGGACGATCGGGTTGGAACTCCATTAGGATTTCACATCACTTTTAGTTTTATTTCTTTTTTCTCTCGCTTTTTGTTCAGAAGCTTACAACTTGCTGCAATTTTTGTATTTAATTCTACTATTTTCTACCTAATAAAAAAGCGGAGATATAAGACCATAAGGGTTGAGATATGATCAAGCTATTGTTTGGCTGAAAGTTACAATTTAGAGTGTTTGAGAAATTTAGAGTTCAGTCCACCTGGAGTTAAGATTTCTACGGTGGAATGACTGATTGTGGATTGATGTCAAATCTAGGGCAGGATACGGTTTATAGGGGGGGCTACTAGTAGACTAGGAGGGGGCTGCAATTTCAGATTTCTGAGGTGGATTATAGTTCACCTAAAGGTTTTTATGGGGTAGACTGAACAATGAAAACCCGAATTTTTAAGAGTGAAATGATGGAAAACTCATCATATAACAGTTTCTGAAATCAAACAAAAACGTGCCGGAATAAGCTTGTTCATATGTTACAGGGTTTGTTCTTACAAGTTTTCTTCAGTCGAAAGGAAGCGGTATTTCTGTTTTAACTAATACATTACATTAATAATAAACATATTCAGAGAAGAATCTTAAAAACATACCACTTTACCATTTAGGATTTATGGCGATTGAGCTTTTCGACCATCTTAGAGAGAAAAGTTGCCCCTATCTACACTTGTAAATGAGTTGTATCGAATGTTTTAGCTTCAAAACATGTTTGAATTTTTACTTGGGTTTTACTAACAATCGGTGAAATTTGATTCACCTAAATCTTGTTTCACTTTACATTTTGGCAAGTCAGGGCTTTAGGTCGTGTCATGCATCCTGCCTTCCTAGATCTAAATTGTTCTATTTTGATTTGCATCCTGCCTTGTTTTGATTTACATATATGAGGTTTCTAGCAACGCCCCTATAATTTGATTTATAACAAAATAAAAAAAAGGAATTACGTATCCAGTGTTGTAAGACTCGAACCGGACTAAAAATCAGAATGCCCCACAGGTCCCGGTTAATTGGGYGGTTTACCCGTTCAATCCATGAAACTTGCCAAAACCATCATTTAACTGAGACCCAGAAAGGTCATCAGTTCGAGACCGGATCTGCTCCTCACAAAGGGCGCCTCACACCGACCTTACATGCACATCCTACCATGCATTGGGAACATCTCCCGTACTTATAAGTTATTATTTACGGGAGATGTTCCCAATGCACGGTGAATGTTCCTGTGAGGCGCCCCTGTGTGAGGAGCACCCATCAGTTCCTGATTTTCACAATCCGATTGTCCAGTCTAGACTGAGTCTTGCAACACCATCTTCTAAAACTTGTTCTTTTTGATGCTTTGATTTAGGGGTGTTCATTTGTAGGTCCACAAATTTCCGGGCTTGGGCCTAAGTTTTGAGTCCAGGGCCTCCAGGCTCAAGCTCACATCAGGCCTGGAAATTCAGCCTGATTGGTTATCACTTCTATGAGGCCCGTTGGTTGGTTATAAGTTTTTTAGTATCATGTCTTTCTGGTACCATACTCAAACTCATATATGCATGTATATGTATGTTTTATTTTAGAAAAACATATACCAGAAAGACTTATAACCAATCAACAAGCATCATAAAAATTGTAATCAATCAGATGGGTTTTCATCAAAATCCATGGGGATTTTCATTGGTCATAACCTTTCCAATATCGTATCTTTCTTCCTGCAAGTAAAGTGAGGTGAGGTCAAATGACTTTTGAGTCTGCTGGGCTCTTGTTTCTCTCCCAAGTCTAATAGAGTTCTCAACCCAGAACCACTAACCAGGCCGTCACTTTCACCTTTGCTTTGTTATTTACTATTGCAATTGTTATTAACAAGGAAAACCATTATCAAAAAGACAAATCCATACATTACGAGTCGCCTTTTATTTTGCCTACACTGAAAACTTTTGATGAAAAAATTAAATATGATGTGATCTAGTACCGAAAATTTGAAAAAATTGAAAATACTTCAAGATTGTTAAACCAGAATAAACTTTCTCTCAGAATTGAAGCAGAACACAATAATTAGTTATATCAATAATTAGGTGGCAAATTGATGAGGGCGGATTTGGCCCTTCAATGATATTGTGACACATGGCACCTCAGAACAACTATGTGACACCCGAAACCACTTTGGCAACAACTTGCCTTAGCCAAGTTGATGGTGTCCCACCTGGCGGCCTGCACATGCACAGCCTGGCACAGGCGCGCCCTGGCACAGGCACAATTTGGCACAAGCGCGACCTGGCACAGGCACGAGCTGGCACAGGCGTGACTTGGCACAAGCACGACCTGGCACAGGCGCGACCTGGCACAGGCGCGACCTGGCACAAGCACGAGCTGACAACCTGGCCCAGGCACCGACCTGGCGACTTACAAGACGTGCACACCGACAAATTCGGAATGCATGTCCTAACACTCCCACGATCCTTGGAAGTTGGACCAGGTGCTGAACGATCTGGAGGGTGGTCAACGTGCATGGCAGTTACCTTCAGGAATCTCGAACCACTTAGATGACCTCGCAGAAATCTCGGATATGGTGCGTGAGTCCCACGCCAAACAATGCCTATATAAAGGTACCAACCCCAAGGGCAAGTAAGCAAGTAGGCATATCCTAGCTCTCATATTTTATGATTTTTAGCTCACAATCTACAATGAGAGTACTGACTTAAGCATCGGAGTGACCTCGCTGGGTTAGCTGCCCCGGGTCCTCTGACATTTGGTTCCTTGCAGGACTCTAAAGACCAAGGAAGCTCGTCACCTAACCTGCCCAGCCCGACACTTGGTCAGTTCGGCACCTTCCCGACACTTGGTCAGTTTGGCACTTGCCTGACACTTGGTCAATTCGGCACCTGCCCGACACCTCACAGGCAGCTTGACACCTCATAGGCAGTTCGCCACCAGGTAGCTCACCACCAAGTAGCTCATCAAGGTAGCTCACCACAAGGCTGTTCGCCACCAGGTAGCTCACCACCAAGCAACTCATCAAGGTAGTTCACCACCAGGCAGTAAGCCACCAGGTAGCTCACCACCAGGCAGTTCGCCACCAGACAGCTCACCACTAGGGAGCTCCACTTCAGCCACTGAGTCACAGGCCACTTGGGAACAGACGTCACTGATGAGGTACTTACCCAAAAAATTGATACATCACAAAAAAATTGATACGTGACCAGGAACAGTTACATCATTTGGCGTCGTCTGTGGGAATCGCTACAAAAAGCTAAGTTCTCCTCCTCTAAAAAGCTAAGTCATCTTC